CGGGCTCCGCGACGGGCAGGTCCTGCACATTCCGGGCGGGTAGGGCCGCGGGGGGCCGTGAGCGGGGCGCGGGCTACGGGAGCCGGGCCCGGCTGCGGAAGCGTGTCCGGCCTTGGCGAGCGCTGCCTCCGCTCGCTGCTTCCTCGCAGCGAGTGGGAGCATTGGGAAGGAGCCGCCTTCGCTGTTCCTCGGGGCGCAGGAGCCTCCTGGGCTTGGCCTTCGGGGGCGACTGCTCGCCCCGTCCTGCCCATCCCGTTGTGGCCACGCACGAGCCGGGCGTGTGCAGGGATTCCTAGACCCTGAAGCAGGTGAGGGGCTGTGCTCCCTGGCACTGCAGCTTGCTGGGCAGGAAGCGCCTGTGGAAAGAAGCTCCCAAACTCCCCTACCTTGAAGGAGCCTTTTTAAAGGCCTTTGTTTTTCTGCAAGTTCTCTATAGGTTTAACGTCCACTGCTGTGCTCTAGGTCTACTGCTGTGCTCTGGGTAACGGTTCTGCCTGCCCAGTTTGTGGTCTGGCTGTGTGTCTGCTTGGGGGGCTCTTTGTTTCCATACAGAAATGCATGGCCTGCTGGATGCAGGTGTCCGCTACATGCGCAGGGCTCGACTGTGTGAGCAGAGCAGGGTTGGTCCAGAGTGCCCCTCCAAAGAGCTGCTGCTCATGCCCTGATAGCGAGAAGGCCCCATCCGTGGCAGCTGGGGCAAGGAGGGGGCTTCCCTGGTGCTGGAATGTGTCTGATGACTGCATTTATTGCTTCCCTGGGGTATCTACATTGAGGGGTTGGTCCCATAATCACATCACTTAAAAGACCCCTCATGTTCAGCTGTTCGGGTTATTGAAGAATGATCTCCTGCTAAAACCACCCAGGCGGAAGCCTGGCGGACACTTAGCTGCGCTTTAATTAAGCACAACCTTATTGATTTTGCCGAAACAGCTCGTTGCATTAAATCCAATGAGGAGAGTGTTATTCTATTTGCAGAAACTTGGATTCCTGCTTTGTGCCTCACTCTTGCTAGGCTGGAGGAAGTGCTGTGCCTAGTGCCATTTTCATATGAAATAGTCTTTTCTTGTCAGTGCAGTAAATTCCTTTTTGGTCTTGTGGTACTCATATTAAATGTGCTTTTGTGGTATGTACAGTGGTACCGTTAGTGTGGTAGCATGAAATAAACATGTAGATAACTTGAAATATTATTTTCTGTCTAGTTAGGGCTAAAAGAGTAAATTGCATTTTAAAACAGCAAGCACCTCTCGCCATAAAGGAAAAGTGTCAGTGTATGAGTCATGCAATAATCTTTGTCCATGCGAAGCCAGTCCTGCTGCAGTGAACTTAGAATTACTAAACATACCTGGTAATGTAAGCTGTAAATGAAAAATAAGATCTAGTGCAATAAACGTCTCATCAGATAGTGATTTTAAGCCATGACTTCATGGGAGCCTGAGGTCAAGAGCTCCACGTGCCACCCACCGCTCCTGAGAGTGCAGCGCAGGCTCCGAGGTGCTCCGAGCATCACGGTTTCGCTTCCCCTTCTCTCTCCTGTGCCCTTGTGCTCCTGCTGCCTCTGCAGGGAGGGAGCTCTGTTGGGTCTGCTGGGTTTCTGCTGCCTGGGAAACCTTATGGATGTGGCCCATCCTTGAGCATGAAAGGGTTAAGCTTAAGTTAGTGATTGTGTAAGTGAGTAGGGAACTCCCAGAGATGAGTCCTATCTAATGTGTTGATGTATCAGAAGGGCTTAAAGAAAGCTTAGCTTGTTGCGTTATTGGTGCTGCAATTATGTTACTGGAATCCAGGACTTCAGAATTTCCCCTGACAGCCTGTGGGGGCCAGGAGGGCATTTCCTTTCCTTGATGCTCAGCCTCAGGAAGTTTTTCCTTCTCTGAAAAGATGGAGCTCGCCTGCAGCTGGGCATGGGCAGAGGCTGTTGGGATCCCCTCTGGCAGTGTGTTCTCCCAAGGGATACCCAGGCTTCGTTCACACTCCCAAGAGGGTCCTCTTGGGGTTCTCTGCAGGTTCTGTCATTCTGAGTATCAACAAGTTTTGTACTGTTTGCTCTTTGAACAATCTAACTTCTTTCTTTTGTGACATTTTTGGTTTTTCCTTTACAACTTGTGAAGCTTCTGTAGGTTGAGAGCTAATGCTCCTGTGCAGTGATGCCAGCACCATTGCCATGTGGAAGGAAAAGCCTGTTGGATTTGCCCTTCCCTGCTGAGGGGGATCCGCTCCAGTGCGTGTCCTGTTGCGAGGCGAGGGAGCTGCGCTGGCGCTCGCTGGTAGCCTCCCTGCTCCGTCACACCTTGGGTGTTTTGAACGCACCTGACAAAACCTTCCTGTAATCCGAGAGCAAATGACTCCTCATCGGGCCTCATCTAATTTGAACTCCACCTGTTTTTAGGGAAGCTTTTCAAATGGGAATCTTGCCTCTGTACCTGGAGGAGCCAATGACTGTGGTCAGAGATGTCTCAAGCTGGGGATGCCTGGGGACGGTGTATTCCAATGCTCTGTGCCGTTGCTGTTTTCTCGCATGATCCCAGCCCGTTTGCTGCTGCATATTTCCATGCAGAGAAGCCAGGTCATACTCAAGGTTTTACTCATTGAATGTTGCTGTTCATCAAGATGTTTAGATTGTGTCCAATCTCACTTTGCGTGAGCTGGAATTTGCCATGAGCCACATTTAAAAATAGATAAGAACGTTGATTAAATATGACTGGTTAAATGTTGTCTAGTAAACTACTTGGGTGGTAAAAGATGCAGTTTCATCCTGCTCATTTGAACCAATATTTAGCTTAGAATTTTTTAAAAACTCAGGCTTGCACTGAGGCCTGTAATAAAAGTTGAAGAGCAAATCAGAAGGTACAAACCGAACAGTAACCTTTGTGCCAACTCTGCAGCATTTGTGATAGAAATATGCAGTCTGTTTTCCGCTTATTTTTGAGGAGAAAGTGAGTTGGGCTGAAAACATTTTCTGCAAAAACTCGATGTTGGCGCCTCGGTATCAGCAAGCAGCAGGACAGCTGACTCTTAAGGGAACCAAGGTGAGAGCAGAGCTGCAGAGGAGCATCCTCCAAAGCGCTCGCCAGTCATGAAGGCTCATCTGGGTATCAGAGACAGAAGTTTGGATTCCTCTGCCTCGACTCGTGTTCAAAACAGGCTACCTGAGCTGTGGTGCCAAGCAGAACTGTGACCAGTGTTACAGCATTTGCCTCCCAAAAGAGAAAGATGGACAAAAATCCTATTAGGTGACATGTCTTTTCCTGCAGGGAAGGGGAGATCGATATTTCATGAATATACAGAGTAAAATCCTGCACCTCTGGAGCAGCACGACAGCAAGAGGCTCCAGAGCGCCTCGGCCGGTCTCTCTGTGGTGCCTCCTTCTTTGTGTTTCTTCAGCTGACGTTTTGAGATCGATGACAAATTGTAGCTGCCAGGAGTCTCCAGGGAGAGGTCATTCCTGTGTCCTGCGCACGTGTTTCAGTCGCAGGCTGGCGGCTGCGCTCGTCGACAGTGCTGGCCCTTCTGGTTTCACCCTTGGTGTTCCCAGCTCCCCAGTGGCTCCCAGGTTTCGGGGTTGAGGTGACCGTGTCAGCTGTGGAGCTGGTTGTTAGTTGTCTTTGGGCTGCTCTGCTTCTTGAGTTACCAGGTGGTCTTGAGGTGATTTTTTTTTTCCTTTGTTGTTTTCTTTAATGCGTGTAAATTCCTTCCTGGAGATGCTTCATTCCCCATAGCCGTGGAACCCTTGCAAAATTGGTGGGCTTTGTTATCTGTTAGCAGTCAACGTTTCCTAGCTATTACTCAACCCATTCCCTCACTTTCAAAGGCAATCTCATTTGTAGGAATGGAACAGGTCATTTTTTTAGGGTGATGCGGCCTGAGCAAACAGTACGTTCAGGAGAAGTTGTGCAGCTTCCAACTTCAGTGCCCTCTTGGAAGGGCAGGGCACTCTCCTTAAATACTGTTTCAAAATACTGTTGTTTTCAGTATGTCAAAGCGTGGGGTAGGTATGGCCTCTAGATTTTCACGGTGATATCCGTGGCCTTTGACCACTTTCCTTGCTCTCATTGGAGTTGCACAACACGCAGAAAAGGGAAAAGAATCCTGTTTTCTTGTGGCGGCTGCCTCCGCTCTCTTCCCCATGCTCAGGGGGCTTTCCAGAGGCTGTGCAAGGGCCAGCCCTGAGCACCAAGGGATTAGAACCAGCTCTGAATACACTCAAGGTTAGGGGGATGCTGCACCCACTGTCCTCACTGCCTTGAGATTCAATCCAAATAACCAGGGCTGAGTAGGGAGGATCAGTGAGGCTGGGAAGGAAGTGGAGTGAATGTGGGGCACTGACTGAGCAGAATTGTCTTTCCTAGCACAGTGCTCGTGTGTTGGTGCTTTTCTTGTTAACTCTTATAAGAATTTCGTGCCAGGGCTGTGATGTTAAGCTGGCGGATGTTCCCTGAGCAGGGGGAGGCTCAGGGTGCCTGGACAGCTCCCAGCGAGAGCGCTGGCGTGATGGCGTTGGTGGCCGAGCTCCAGGCCCTGGCACGGCCCCTCTGCACGAGTCTGCAGCGGTGGCTGTGCCGGGTGGGCCCGCTACCTCCAGCAGTGCCTTTGATTGCTGCTTGTCAAAGTGCTAATAACCTAAAAATGTCCTTTGAAATAAGGGCTGAACAGTCTCTGCAGGTTTCACAGTACCAAGCTACACCGCTGTATTATGTTTTACCTGGTGTTGGAAGTTGGGCTCCCGTGTCCCAAACATTCTTTTTGACTTTTTCAGTTAATGTATAACTCAATGCTGGTAACTGTGTGGGGGGCAAACACAAAGTGCAGTGGGGCCTTGCTACAAATAACACTCTGTGTGTTCTTTTTTTGCCCTTTGCAGAAATTCTGTGAAGTCTAAACTTGAAAGCGTTAACATAGACAGTGATTAAAAATCGCTTCTAGTACTGAGAATTTGGTTAATATTCAGATTACCACTCATGCCATGTTTAAAATGCAGTCAAGCTTTGAAACAGGCAACAAAGGTTAAAATGGAGGTTGTGTTTCTTTCCAATCCAAAGATCCATCTCCCTTCAGAAAGTGCTGTCGGAGATCCATGGTGTTTGTGTTTGTCTTGCTGGGCATGGCCATGCATCTCCGATCCTTTGGTGACTAAACTTTAAGGCAGTTTTCATTCTGTCATGTGAGATCAGGAGCTGGAGACCTTCTTAGTCAGAACTCACACAGATGTTTCAAGCTGCAGTTTTGGTGCATATCACGTTATCGTAATCAAGGATAATCCAGAACCCCAGCATCAACTGTATCTCATTTCACATTACAGAGTCCTCGACCTTTCGACCATTCAGCCTTCTCCAAGGTGATGCCTGCTGTCTCCTGAGACGTTGGAAAACCTAGTTTGGACGAAGAGTAAAGATACAGTTGATGCTGAACTACGTGAGTCCTCAGATTATTTTGTTTACGATAACGCTGTTTGCATCATAGTTCCCTATCCAGCTCAGATTGCGCAACGGTTATTATCTCAGAGTTTCTATGCAGTGGGGTTTCTGCAGTTGAAATCTTACTCATATATTTCCATCAGGAATGATTATGTCGCAAGGAATGGAGGCTTTTATAAAGTACACTCAAATATTAGGTCAGGGATGGAAAATGAACAGAGTAAGGAGCATATGGAGCTCCAGTTTTTCTTATGTTTAACTAATTGGACCTGATAATATGTTTTCTTTCAAAGATATGGACTGTTGGTAGAATACAGTAGAACATGGATGTGATTTCTGCTGTTAAGACTTCTCACCTTACCTCTTTTGTTACTTCTGAGGATTTTGGTGACAGATACTGCTTTATAAATTGATGCAATGAGGTCACTGTTGTGTCCACATAAAGGGTGGAACTGCTAGAGAATAAACTTCCCGACTATATTAAAAGCATGGTGATTTATCGCTCTCTTACTTTGTGAAACACACTCCTTTTAACAAAGTACAATAGACATTTTTTTTTCCAGTCTGGTGTAGGAACATTTTAGGGAAAATTACCAGAGCTTGGTCTTGACTTGCTAAGAGTAAGAAAGTGGATGTGTGCCTGCTTGTCTTTCTGTCTGTCTGTCTTTTTGTCTTTAATCATGGGAGCATTTAATGGTAGATATTTGTGAGTCTTTAAAACTAATTTCCAATATTTAAAGGTGAAACAGAGGTGAACAAGAAATAAGTTCAGTTTGCTGCTGGAGCTGCCTTATGCTAGCAGTAAACCTGCTCTGTGTGAAGGATAGCTTTTCAACGAAAATTGGGTTTTTTTTGTTTGTTTATTTGTTTTTTCTGTTGAAATGAAACAAAGTTTTTGTTTAGGGAAGAGGTATTTTAGCGACTGAGACATGAACTTGGACTTTGGAGTATTGATTTTGCCGTAATGTGATCAAATTGTCTTCAGGGTTCAGAGCAGCGGAAGGTTCCTGCATGTTTGAAAACAGATTAAATTTCACTAAGCGAAAATTACTTATGCTTTTAGTTGTTCATGCTATAGAACTATAATGATATGTGTGTACTTTGAAAAAAGTATTTGGTGCAAAGCATGAATACTCCTCTGATAGATTAAAGTGTTCTTTGCATGCACTTTTAAGTGCCCACATGTAAATATATAATTAAGTAAAAGGAAATTAACTCAGGTCCTCATCAAAATGTGATCTTCTTTGCCTTTAAAGAGCCAAGGATGAAGCGGCGAGCATCAGACAGAGGCGCTGGAGAAACATCCACTAAGGCAAAAGCTCTTTGTACAGGGATTTCTGGAAATAATGCCAAGAGAGCAGGCCCTTTTATCTTAGGTAAGTGGGGAAAGGCTTTCTTCATCTGCAGTTCTCTAGGTAGAAAGCCACCGATATCAAAACTGAATATAAAAGAAATGATAAAATGAGACAAAGCAGGTGTGTAATTTAGCTTCTTGCATCAGAGTGCAATTCATCTGATATTAACAAAGTAGCATTAGTTGGACCTTCTGTACCTAGGAGGTTTGAAATACTGATTTAGGAAGGCAGATGGGGCTTTTAATATAAATATCAATCCTTCTTTATTTTTTTCCCTCTTTAAACTACATTTATAAACTTGGTTTAAAAGCAAGTTAATTCAGGGGCCCTGGGGATATATTCAATCATTTTTCAGTAGACTACACTGTATAATCACTATGTAGACAACTTAATATAGTTTGGCATTACCAGGGGTGCATGGCAGGGCAAGACTGTTGTGCAAGCTTTTGAGAATTGCTTTTAGGTCAGAACTGGCTGTATAAAGTGCTAGAAACATGATAAGCTTCACAGGTGAAAACAGTGGATAATCAGTTAGAAATGGATTGGCTTAAGCTGAATTGTAGAATTGGATGTTAACTTAAATTTTGGACTAATCAGTGTATGTGAGCAGAGACGGCAATGAGGTTCAGAGGTTTGGTAATAGTTCTTTGCCATGAGTGTTGCTAGTAAATGCAAGAGCCATATGGCTCAAGCATGCAGAAATTGGTATTTCTAAAACCACCTGGACAGTGGTGTTTTGTTTGTTTGTTTTTGTTTTTTTCCCCTAAATTTCTCTCCAATGAACAAATGAAACCTTGTTCAGAAAGGTTTCATATTCAGTATCTTTTTTTTCTTTAGATAAATAGAAATTATGGAACAACACTTAGCCTTCTGATTAAAAAAAGGAACTTGTTTTAAACTAATGTAATCTGTGTGACGCTTAAAAACTGATGTAACACTGAATTAGTCATTGTTGCTTAAAGGAAAACAAGTCTGTTTTTGCTTTGTGCTCTTAGGTCCGCGTTTAGGTAACTCCCCTGTGCCAAGTATTGTTCAATGTTTGGCAAGAAAGGATGGGACAGATGACTTTTATCAGCTAAAGGTAAGTGCAGTGCAAGGGTTTCAGATCTTCAGACCTCGTTTAACTCTTACTCTCTTACTGGACTGCTTGGAATTTGTAGCCTGGGCTGGCGCATTCTAGGAATGGCTGTTTAAACTTTTCCCCTTGCTGAGCGGTTCTGCCAGGCATAGATTATGTGTCAAGATTGGCTTTGAAACAAGACCTCCACGGCTGCTGTTCTCACAGGGTTGTGCGATGGTATCCTGGAGCTTTCTGGCCTACTCAGGGCGCTTCAAAATAATGGCAGCACCGTCAGGAACAATTTTGGGATGTGTGCAAAAAGCCATGCAAAGTGCTTTTGTGCATTAATCAAATTTATGTTGTGCTTTCTGCACAGATGTTAGTTCAGACAGGTTTGTGGCAAGTATATAAATGTTAGAGTAACTACATTCAACTGCTACTTAATGTTCTGGAGGTTTGGGGACCTCTGAGTTTTCCTGAGAGTTGTAAAAATTTTTTTTCTTTTCCTGAAGATTCTGACCTTAGAGGAAAGGGGTGATAAAGGAATAGAAACCCAGGAAGAACGACAGGGCAAGATGCTGCTGCACACAGAGTATTCTCTCCTTTCACTTCTCCACAGTCAAGAAGGGGTGGTTCATCATCATGGGCTCTTTCAGGTACAGTACCTTCAGAGCTGCTTATGGAGTGTGATCGGCGCATTGGATGCTGGCATTTCATAGTTTGATATTTAACTTTTGTCAATAGGTTTTTGCCTGATGCCATCTAGGTTATAGTGAATCATTTGTCCGGTTTGGTGGTGTCCTTTTAATCACAGAATCATTAAGGTTGGAAGGGACCTCTAGGGATCATCTAGTCCAACCCCCCTGCACACGCAGGGTCACCTAGAGCGCGTGGCACAGGACTGCAATGCAAATATCTATCCACATAGACTCAAGCAGGAAGCATTCAGCTGTGCAGTCAGTCTTGCAGCAGAGAAGATCTTATTTTCTCCTGAGCACTGCCCTGGCGTATCACTCCTTCCCTCTTCTCCTGGGGAAACTCAGAGATGGCGACAGTGTTTAGACAGTGTTTAGAATGTTATGAAAGAGTTTATTCTTGATTAAGATTTTGTTCTTCTTCCGGTTCCTGGTATTCACAAATTCACTACCACAGAATGATATATGTCAGCATCATTATTGAGATTTATGCATGTAGCTTTCTTTGCATTCTTTAAGTGGAGATTGTGTCTTATTTTTGAAATCCCAAGTCAGAATAGAGGTTAAATACTTTAACTGTTTTTGCTTATTTCAGCATTAGCATATATTTATTTATTTTCCAATGCTTTCTTCTTAAATATGCATATATGCACCGGGGTAGTATCCCAGAACTATTGCTCATTTCTTTGTCTCCTTGTAGGACCGAGCTTGTGAAATTATAGAAGATCTGGAAGCCAATAGAATGGTCAGAAAAATGAAGAAGCGCATTTGTCTTGTGCTAGACTGTCTCTGTGCTCATGATTTCAGTGACAAAACAGCAGATCTGATCAATTTGCAGCATTATGTCATTAAAGAGAAGAGACTCAGTGAGCGAGAGACTGTTGTGATATTTTATGATGTGGTACGAGTAGTAGAAGCATTACATAAGGTAAGATCTTTGTTATCCCTTTGAGTACTGGAAGATGTGCAGTTTTTTTATATTGGTCGTACAGGCAGTGGAAAATGTTACAAAGGGTGGATGTTTCAGCTGATTCCCAATAACAGTGCTCTGTGTAAGATAAGACCTCATGCACCGAGTCATAGAAGAGCATTCCTTTCCCTGCCCCTGTGTTCCCCCAGGATAACACAGCACTGGTAGGCTATGGAGAGAGGCCAGCTGAACAAAATGCAGGTTAGGTGAATGTCAGGGTTATTAAAGCCAAAAAGGGATGGTTGAGGAGAGCAGAGGCTAATCAAATGTTGGAAGCGCTTCAAGACTTTTGTTTTGAAGTGGTATAAATCACCTTGCAAGTTTTTTTGGTGTTTTTGTGTTTGTTTGGTTTGGTTTGGGTTTTTTTTTTTTTGAGTTGAATATCTCAAGCTACAAGTTTGAGATCGATGAATTAGAAATTTAATAATAATTTAATAACTTACAGTTCTATTAAATTATTTTGCCTTCTGTATGTGGCTAAAGCAGTGTCCTGTTTCCCTTAGTTTGTTTTTAGAAGCAGCCAAATATGCTAAGAAGGTGAGCGTTTTCCACCTGTATTTTTTTAGCCTGAGAATGAAGGTAGAATGATTCTGAAGGATAATTAGTGTTCTTTCACCAAGTATCAAATTTAGAGTTATAGCAAATGTACTTTTGCTGATGTTATATTAACATATATTTTACAGAAAAATATTGTGCACAGGGACTTGAAGCTAGGAAACATGGTGCTAAACAAAAGGTAAGTCTGCTGCAGAGCTGCTGATCTGCCAGTTTTATGGCTTTTCCTTCAAGTGAGTATTTTATGGGGAACACAACTGAGGGAGTGTTTGATCAACTGTACCAAAAAGATGAGATAGAGAGAAGAAAGCTGAGCAAAAAATGCAAATTCAGCTTGATGTTACATGATCATCTCAAAAATGAATTGAGTTAGTCCTAGATAGTTCGCTTATCCACCAAACTTAGGATGATTTCATGGTCGGCACCTACTTCCGAAAATTCTGTGCTGAGGAATGAATCTGGGTGGATTTGAGTCTGAAGTCTTCAGTGCTCTTCGTTATACTGCAAACTGTTAGCTCTTGCATAATTATTTCACGTTTGCTTTAGCTTCCTGGATTAATTTGTGCCCAGAATATTGAGTCGGGTTAACCCCAAGTGGATACTTGAGTTCTACTCAGATTGAGTCAAATGCTTTATGAGTAAATTGAAATAACCGTTAATTTTTACACTGTGGAGTTTTTTAAACGTTGTGTCCTGGAAGGCAGTGTTAATATTTTGAGTAGTTTGTGGTGTGCGTAATAGAAGGTGTTAGTGCAGATGGTCGTAGTGGTAACTTCTGGCTGTAAAATCTCAGTTCACACCTTCTGATAACTAGCGTCATTTTTTTTGAAGGACTAAAGAGTGGCTAGGAATTGCAATAAAGACAAACTTACTTCATTAGGATTGTAGAGGAATGGAGCAGATCTTAGTTTCATTGCTGTTTTTATCTAGATAATGCATGTTGGTGTGGGAAAGATGTAAAGTGTCTTGAGCTGCCCACATCTTAGTGGAGGCTGAGCTGTTGAGATGCTGAACTGCACTTCCTAGAGTTACTTGTGAAGGGTGACTCTGATCAGACTGGCTCGAAGTGCTGCTCATCGGTAAATGCAGATCTGTACTACCGTGGGTTATAGGAAGCATTTCACTGCTTCTCGTGTCAGATTCCCTCTAAACCACTGAGGAAATACAAAAATGTTCGATTCTACAGTTCTTCATCCCAATAGCAGAACTTCCCTGAGTTTATAAAATGGGCAGTCATTTGATACCTCTTGGTCCCTGATTCTGCAGGTCTTTAAAATATTTCATGTTTTGTCTTTTCTCTGCTCATTGTAGATCCCATAACCAAGATATTCTTGATTGTTTAAGCACAAGACAGACCAAAATCTGTCTGATTGTGATGGTGGGTCACAGGGATATTGGGGATAAATTTGAAGTAAAGGAAAACTAAATTCAGAGTGCAGTGGGAAGCAAGGCCTCTGTAACCTGGGAACACCCCTCGCTCTGCTGGCTTGCAGTACTGCCCAGGCTTTCCCATCTATAGTTCTTCTAAATATTCATTTAAAGAGTCTGTTTGGAAGATATTCGGTAGTAGTGTGATGGCTGAACCAATCCATATGGAGGAGGAAAGCTCAGCTGGTGCTCAGCTCCAGATGCTGTTTTAGGCATTTTTCCTTGCTGCATCACAGCTTCTAGTGCCTATTGTTTTATGATGTTTCTGGGTTTGTTTTTGTTTGTTGTCTTGTTTTCAACCTAAGCCCTTTTTTTTGTCATTGCCTTTCATAATGTGTTGGGAAACGTAAGCTTTCTGAACCAGCCTTCACTCTGAAGCCACCAGCACAGTTGCTATGAACAAGGTAAATGATAGTGGCCTCTGATGGGTCAGGTCTGTGCCTTGGACACGCCCTGGCTTACGCAGGAAATGCCTGCCTTGCACTGCACACCTGCTCTGGAAATAAGGTTAACACGAGGTTCTTCTTGATGTGAAATATAAGAGCACGAATATAAGAGTCCTTTTGTTGCCTGTCCACTTACTCTGGAGAAAATGAATGCCAGTGTGCCAGAAGGGTGGTGTGGTTCCCCACCTTTCCCCAGGGGTAGGAGGTGTAAATTAAGTTCCTAGAAAAAGAGAGAGAGAAGGCATAGCATCAGTCAAAAGGGTCATAACTGAAGCGTGACTCACTCATAGCAAAGGATGCTGATGCAGATCTCTGATAATTCTCTTTCAGTCCTGTTGGAATGGGTTTGACTGCCCTGAAGGGAATAAGGCTGGGGTTTGTCTGCAGTTAGACTTGTAGAAAGTCGATCGCTGATCGTTTCAGTTAGAAGCGCTTGCCTGCACTTTGTGGAGTGAATAAAAGTAGGGAGGGTTTGGGTTTGCAGCTTTCTAGGGCCTATTCAAAGGGTGCAGGCTTGCTGCCACAGCTGTTTTTTCTTTCAGGCTTAGGGAGAAGGCAAAGCAACTTTGCCTATTGAAATAAACTTCATTTTCCCCACAACAGCAGGTGATTTCCCCCTCCACCAAGGCCACCTGAATATTGTTCTAGATGCTCTCTAGTTAGTTGCTTTAGGATGAATCTCCTGTCTCTTGCTTGCTTGTTTATTCTCCTGCTTGCTAGAAAGAGGCAGACTGAGATTGCTGCTTCAAGGGTCCTCACAGAGCTTCCCTCCTGTTTTGGGCAGAGTGTAAGGGGGAAGGTATTTGAAGCTGTGTCAACTTATTTGTCAAAGTCATTCTTTGAACTACTGATACACTTGCTTTTTACTGGCAAGAGCATCAGCTGGTAAAGAAAACCTGCCTGTAGCCTCCAAAGCAGTGAGTCATTTGAAGGGTGGGTGAAGCTTAGGAATAGATTTCCATGGAGAGGACCAGTCATCTGGACTGATAGAAATGTTTGTTCTGTTCCAGACATGCTCATGAAAGACAGCAAGGTCTTTCCTATGGGCTGGAGAGCCAAGCTGAGCTATGTATGATTCTAAACAATGAGCCCTGCGCACTGATCTCCTGGGCTAATGAAAACCTCCAGGCACTGTCCCCTGAAGATGCTCACATTGAGCCTCTTGGGGTTGAGCTCCCATGTAGGCAGTCAGTAGTTGGATTTTTTTAATCACAGTTTAGATCCAGCTTCAATGGCTAAATAAAACTAAGCAACCCCAAACATTTCTGTGTCCTTCAGAAAACTTAGTCTTTTGAATCTTTAACAAATCCCGGAACTTGTTATTCACCCGGGGAAGTATCTTGACAGTTGAATCTAACACTTCTTAAACACAAATCTGTCTTATTAATCAGCTCTCCAGTGCCAACCCACACTCAGTTTTATTTCGTTTGTCAAAATTTGCTGGAAATGTTTCATGGTTATTTTAACTGGTTTAATTCATGCTCTTAGATCATATTTTCAAGAATATAGAAATCTTGACAGTATTTTTCTGCTCAGTCCTTTAATTTGTGTGTTAAGAACCAAATTACCTGTGTGACATGGAAGTTTTAATGTGGCAGTAACTGATTGTGTAATGATCATACTTTTCCTAGAAAAGTTCCTAATTTGGAGTATACAGTACCATGGGGAAGTAGGGGTGTCTTAATACAGAAATTGCACATACCTGCAGTTCTCAGCTTTTATGAGATATTTAACTGCAGGAGGTTTTCTTAGTTTTGATTATACCTTCTCTGTTCTGTGTACCTTGCTGTAAAGAGCCTGGAGATCGGGGAAAACTGCCATGGGATTCTGCTGTGGGATTGTTGGGAAGCATAAGCAGCTGCACTGAATCTGATGAAAGGTCCTATAGCCTCCTCCCTCGAGGGCCTGCTGGAGGTGCATAGGCAAACAGTGCTTAGCAGCATAAATACAGCAGCCCTTCCTGTGGGATATTTTCCCTTAGCCGAGAGGATACGTTGTGTGGAGAAGATACCCTTAGCAACAGCAGCTGGGAAGGGTAGCAGAGTATCAGCTGTTAAAATAAAACACTTATTTTCTTAACAGTGGTTCCTTGTGTGGTCAGGAAGTACCAAAGCAGAAATCCTAGTGCCGCTGATTGCTGCGGGTGCATTACTGTAGGACACCTCATGGGAGGCTGTCCCCTGCGTGGCTGCAAGCTGGGCAGGTTGCCTGAGCACCCTGCGCTTACAGCCCCACTCATGCCCGCCCCTCAGGTCTGATGTGGGCTTCATCCACAGCTGTAGAATAGCTTCTCTGTGCCCTCTCTAAAAGAACCTCACAGGTCATGTTGACACATGTAAAATCCCTCCCAGCAGGATGGAGCTGGACCTACAACTGCTTTTATAAGCCCACCACTTCAAGCATCCCCAAAAACCATGTAGACGTCCTCTCTTCCCCTTGTCTGGTTTGTGACATGATGGTCCTTGCTCACTGATTCCTTCTGCTTCTCCCCAGGACTCACCGAATTACCATAACAAACTTCTGTCTCGGGAAGCACCTAGTGAGTGAAGATGACCTGCTGAAAGACCAGCGAGGGAGCCCTGCCTACATCAGCCCGGATGTACTCAGCGGTAGGCAATCCACTGCAGTCCTCAAGAGGAGTTCACAGACCCTACATTTAAAACTTTTGTTTCATTTATTTGTGGCTCTTGTCATTAAATGAAAACTATTTCTGTTTCCATATGAAACCTGCCTTCTCAGATCCTCTTAAAGAGGGTCTACGTATAGGACCTAGTTTATTATTCCAACTATGAAAGTAGAGAGGGAAATAATGAGTATAAATTTTGTCTTAAGGCTAGCCTGAACTTCAAAGCTAATTTAAAGCTGCCTGTCTGTTCCTAAATAAGTCCAGTTGCAAACAAGATGTTCCGTTTCCATGTCTGAATTTTGTTCCTGAGGCTTGACTTCAGCAGTAGGTCAGTCGAAGGCCTAAGAAACAATCCATTCAAATCCCGTTATAATGTCAGTTTATTCCAAGCAAGGACTGTAAGAGGAGCAGTTGCTCCCACTGCTACTTGTTTCCAAAAGGGAACTACTGATGCCCCAGGCGCTTCTAGGCTGACTGAGGAGGGTTATTTAAAAATAGAAAGAATGACCAGACTGGGCCAAACCAGCAGTCCCTCTGGACTATCTTATTTCCAACAGAGACCTTAAACAGATGTCTAGGAAGGAAGCTTTTCCTAATGTTTGCCCACCTTTTAAGTGTCTTCAGTGCCTGGAACCTTCAGAAACGACTGCAGGTTCTGTGTATTAGTTGCCTTCAGCAGGTTTCTCTTGTCTCAGCATTAAGGCTGTGCTACTAGCTGCTGGATGCACTGAATGAATGGTGTGAAGTTATGTAAAACTGTGGTCCTAACTTTTTTAGTAATAGCTGTTTTCCATTTAAGTCTACGCTACGTTGGGCAGCAACGTTCACTGACAGGTCCGTAGCAAAGTGCAATCCAGAATCTTTGCCAATATTCCTGGGGCACTTGTTTGTGAGAAGATAAAGTATGCAATAAAACAGTTCTGCAAAAGATCAAAATTATTCATTACTGGCCTTGGTTCTCTAAAAATATTTTATTTGAGAAATGCCTTCAGATAGAGATATTCTTTTCTGTTTTTATTTCAAGACCTGGTGCCATCCCCTCAGCATTACAGGCAGTGGCAGTGAGTGCGGCTGAGCTCTTCCCTGGTGATCTGCCAGACAGGTCTGAGATTGCTTCCCTCCTGGGCAGGACTCCGCCAGGAAGGGAGGCCAGGGCAGGCTGGGGAAGACAGAATGTGTGTGTTTTTTGCAGGCCTTTCCTGTTCTTCAGGATATCCTGAGGCCCCTGTAACCAGGGCGATGGTACGAGCCAACCGCTCTGCAGGAGCTCGCAGTTGTAATTCAGCTGGCTAGTGCCTGCAAAGGGCTGCCTGGATCCCCTCCTCCTTGCCGGGCTGGGGCACTGTGCTCTCCTGGGGAGACAAGCAGTCCTTCTCCTGCGGGGCTCTGTGCAGCCCAACCGTCTGTTTTCTTGGAAAAGCTGTTTTGAAACCTCTCAGTTCTGATCCCCTCCAGACCCAGAAGGAAGTTATTTAAGGACACTTCAAACTTCACCACCATCTTGAGACACTAAGGCGCTGTCCCTGGTACATAAGAACATCCTTCTGTCTGTATCACTAGTATCTCTGTTTAGGAGGAAGCTAAAAAAAACAAAGAATTAATCATTGGTTTAGGTGTGCAGGAGAAGCTGTCTTTTTCAACAAGATGGCTTGCATTTTGTAGCTGCTGAAATGTCACTGCAGGAGAAGCTGGAGGAGGAGGGAGGGGTGCCTTTTTTGAGCATATAAAGCAGAGAATAATTAGTACAGATAGTGAATGCTGCGGCAATGACTCACTCTGTGAGTCAGAGGAAGTCATTCTCTTAATCCTGTGCTGTGGTACAGCATTGGACTTTAATTTTTGACCCTCATGCAAGTTGCTCTTGTTGATTTACTGTGTGGTTGCAGAGACTTTAAAGCAGTGTTTCCCTCTAGCTGCTCCCAGGTTGTGCTGGGCCTGCTGCGCTCTCTGGAACAAACTCCTGTGCAGTGCCCTTGTGGTTTGGATTACTTGGTGCTCTCATATCATATCAAGGCCCTTCAGTAAGGATGAACCTTGCCTGTTGAGATTAGGGAAACATCTGTGGAGAAGACTGGTTTCCTTGCTTGCAAAGGTGCACCTCAGAGAGGTTTTTACTGCCTTGGAATAGGAAGGGCTGAGCATTTTAATTCCAAAAAAGGAGCATGTGCAGAGGTTGCTTCTCGCTTCGTATTGCCCCGGCTGGACCACAGATGTGAAGTGTGTTATAAAGCCTGTTGCTTTTGTGTCTCTGCCTGCAGGACGGCCATACCGTGGGAAGCCCAGTGACATGTGGGCCTTGGGGGTCGTGCTCTTCACCATGCTCTATGGGCAGTTCCCCTTCTATGACAGCATACCTCAGGAGCTCTTCCGCAAAATCAAGGCTGCCGAGTACACCATCCCTGAGTGAGTACAGCCGGTCCCAGGGCAGCCCCAGTCTTGATGCCTGCACAGGCAGTGCTCTGTGCCTTATTGTGGCAGCAGGAGCTGGAGGGGCTTTGGTCAGAGCCACTGAGGGTCACAGCAGAAATGAGAACAAAGGCTGTGAATGCAGTAGACACCAAGGAAGCAGTGGCTGAGCTGGGACATCTTGTGCAAAGGTGAGAAAGGCCTCATGTTGCTGGGGCAGGGAAACAACCGCCTGTTAATTCTGGGGTCTTCCAACTCAGAGCAATAGTAGCTCCTGCAGCTCCTGACCTGCATGCTCTCCGCCTGCCCGTCCTGTTGCTCACGCTGCCCACCTCAGACACGCTGCCCACCTCAGGCACGCTGTGCTTTCTCTCTCCCAGGGATGGTCGGGTCTCAGAAAACACTGTGTGCTTGATCCGAAAACTGCTGGTCTTGGATCCGCAGCAGCGTCTGACAGCTTCTGAAGTGTTGGATTCGCTGAGCTCCATCATAGCATCATGGTATGTTCAAGAGGGGAAAGACAGGAATGCAGTGTGTCCAGCCTCAAGTTTTTATTGTTTCAGCTGTGGTCATCAGACTGCTGCCAAATGCAAGCGACCAGAGGACAGTCTGAGAACTGCAGAAGTTTTCTAATCCTGTATCACAAACATTTCCATTTGGTTGGTAGGTGACATTGGTGGCTGCTAATGGACACAGAGTGGCTAATGCGAATGCTTATCATTGTGACAAAAAGATTGGATTTTTTTAAAGCAGCAAAATTACTAAACAGTACTGGGATTCGGGAGTGCCTTTGCCTTTGCTCTCTGCCTCCTCTTTCCTCCACAAATTTGACTTTTAAGAAATAGACTAATGGTCAGGAATATTGTACATGTATGTGCGAATGCAATGCAAAGACAGTCATTTCCTACAAGTTTGTAATTAGCCCTGCATTGTCAATTAACTAAAATCAGGCATGAGACCTAGAGGGGAAGAAGATGAGACAGCGTTACAAGTGGGAGCACTGCTACATGTGTGAGGTGGGGATGCTCCAGCTGAAATGGGTCCTGGCAGGGTACAGGGAACAGCCCTCAGCCCTGCAGCCCTCCCTCGGTGCTGCACAATCTGAGCAAAGTTCTAGTGCTGCCTATTGAGTCAGCAGGGAAGTCTGTGATTTTTGGAGTCGTGGCTGTTTTCTCTCCTACCTATGCAAGATGTTAGAGTTCCACATCCTGTTTAAAAAAAAAAAAAAAAACTCTGCGGGAGTGTTTATCATGATTTCCATCAATGGAAGCTGACTGTGAATTTGGAGGTGTCCTTGAATAGTAGTCTAGCAGGAATCGAGCAGCACAGTATGCAGCGATGGCCAGGCAGCAGTACTGTGACTAGTCTGTTGGGTGAGGGAGCTGGCACTGTGCTGGGTTTTAACGATGTGTTCTCGCCCTCAGGCAGTCTATGTCCTCACTGAGTGGTCCTCTGCAAGTTGTGCCAGACATCGATGACCAAGTGGCCAACCCTGAAAACCCCCAAGAGGTGGGTGGGCAGGACGGTCGCCCCGTGGCGTGTGTGGAGGAGCGGGTGTTCAGCTCTGCTTCCCAGGGCCGCATTTCCTGGGGAGTATTTGTCCTTGGTCCTTTCACACCCTTGTGCTGCTTTTCCTTGCCCCTGTGCCAAGTCCCTTGACAGTCCCCTGAGCTAGTGAGGGGAGGATGGTGAGGACCTGCTCTAGGAGGCCGCTGAATCCATCACCATCTTGTGCAAAGGAAAGCAAAGTCCTTTATGCGGCTGGGAGAGGGACGCAGAGGGTAACCAGCCAGCTGTGCTCTGTGGAGCTGAGCTCAGCTGACACAGGCTTTGGGGTGTCTGCTCTCCAAGATGTGTTCAGTCCCACACATGCTGGGACAGCCAGGAAGTGCTGGTAGCCTTGGCTCGGTGTCCCCAGTGCATTCTGTAATGGGAGCAAACATCCTGTTTTCTTGCCAGTGTTATTTTATGTTGGAAGGGATGGCTGGTGACCTCACTGTCTGGGGGACAGTCTCCTTGGAGCTCTTGCCTGTGGCGCAGCAGCCCGGCAGGCAGCTTTACCTTCAGAAATCTCTGCAAGCTCCCCCTCCACTGGGCATAGGAGGGCTGCGAGAACTGTGGTCCAACAACTCTGCTAACTCCTGAGTGCAGCACTGGGCTGAGCTGCCCCAAGACAGTGCTGCAAGGTTTTCAGGCCTCTGTTTCTGGTGCCACCAGGGAGACCCTTGGGTAAGTTCAGCAGCAGGTCCAGTTGAAAGTGTTTTCCTGTGTTGGGCTCTAGTTGTGCATTGTAGTTCTGGGCCATCGGAGATGGTCACAGTGTGTGTTGAGAACTGTGGGAAGTGTTTGCTGCCACACTTCCTTGCTCCTCCAGACCAGCTCAGCACACGCACAGCTTGCTGGGGGAATGTTACTTGTCACTGTGGCTCTACTGAGGCAGTTCTCTTGCAGGTAAAGGTGACAGAGGAGTGCTCGCAATACGAGTTTGAGAACTACATGAGGCAGCAGCTACTCCTGGCTGAGGAAAAAAACACATTGCATGAGGCCAAGAGCTTCCTACAGAAGCGACAGTTTGGGAACATCCCCCCTGTGCGACGCCTGGGCCATGATGCCCAGCCCATGAACCCCTTGGATGCAGCTATCCTGGCCCAGAGGTACCTTCGAAAGTAGCTTCCCACACACCTGAGAGCACAAGCACCATCCTGCAAACTGCCTTTTATGTCACCTACTACAACTCAACAGCAATACTGGTGTCCCATGATGGAGAATAATGTAGCAATTCTTTTGAGCTCTGTTAGGGGACACACACTCACGCTCACTCTGGAGGGAGAAGACTTTGGAAAAGCTCATTTTGAAAGCAGCAATCTTCTTGGCATCTTCTGGAATCTTTGTTTTTAAATCCAAGCCTAGATGACTAATCTGCTTTTAATCATGACTTGTAATCTACCTCTCTTGTCTTTTTAACCATGCTGTTCTCTGGATCAAGCAAAGCCAGTCAGAAAGGAGAAGATGACCAAGGGTGAAACTGGTTTGCTGGCACGAGAGTTGTGGCTACGTGTAGTATGGAGAGTCAGCCAATTGCATTTGCTCCATATGGTTTGAATAAGCTTAGATTTATCTGGGTTTCCTGAAAGAAAGAACTTCTTGAAACCTCCTACTTCCCTTCATCTGCATCAAATCTTTTTCTGTTTTTAACATACCACCTGGTTTGAATGTGTTGTCTAACCCTCCTTGGCTCGAGCACCAAGCCCCTCGATAAGCAGCGCACAGATAGCCCAGTTGTCTGCTGTGACTAAGCGCTGTTCCCGAGAACCCATCCACGGTGTGAGACAAGTATTGTCATTGCAGACAATCACTGCAAGGATTTAGTCTTGTCCGTAGTTATTTAAAGGTTTTGCAGAACTTGGCCCATCTTGGCCTTTGACCTCTTTCACCTTTCACTGATTCTTTTAGTTTCATAAGAATATATGATTTAATCTTATATTTTTCAGTAGCTTATCTAAGGTGCAGTTAAAATTGCATTAATTGATTTAGAATTTTTCACACGTCATTTGTGGTACAGATATAATATATGAGTTATAATGTGAAAATGTTTCCCAGAAACATCTGCTAGAATTAGAAAGGGGCTGCCTCAAGTCTCTACTGTATTTGTTCTCTAGCTTATCTTGCCATCCAGCCTAACCACCTACAGCTGAGCTTTCCTCTGCTCTCCCAGGGTGCGATGTAGGCTGTAGAAGGATGTCCCCATTTGTCACCTCATGGCACTGGAAGAGCATTTGCTTGTGTTGAGAACAGAAAAGGTTGTTTCTGAGCCTCACTCTGTGAACTGGATGCCTGTCTTGCCAGATTAACTGTTCTCACACAAGGCGGCCAGGGCTCCCAGTTCCCCATGCAGGGCTCTGGCTCTGCTCCCTGCTCTGGGGCAGCCAGCCAGGGATGTGCCAGGAGCAGGGGTAGCCCCCGGCCCTGCTCTTGGGACCGCTTTTGGCACCGGTTCCGTTCCCTGGCCCCGCTGCCCCTGCAGCGTCCCCTCTCCTGGGGGATCGTTGCCTTGTCTTGCCGCAGCGGGGAAGCAGCCAGTGCCTCCTTGCCCTGCACCTTCCTCCTGGGGTGGCAGGGCCAGAGCAGGAGTGCAAGCGGCGTCATGCAGTGCCCAGTGCTGACGTGGCATCACAGGCCAGGCTCCCTGAACACTACTGCAGAGCACTGGGGCCCTGCACATCCTCGCCTTATTTATTGTTGGAGAGGGCGGATGAGTCCTGCCGCCCCCAGCTGCCACTGCTGTCCTGGTGCCACTGTCAGCAGGGCAGGGGGCCGCGCC